TGTGCACAGCACTCTGATGAAAGCTGTCACCTTCTAATTCAGCAGCTCTTGCTCCTTCCCTAGACTGACTGACTGAATGAAAATAATTGAGGATTAATAAAATCCAGAGAGCAAAATGACCTGAGATACGGATGATGTAGATGTAATATAGACATGCTTAGACTCATTTCAAATGATGAAAGCCAGATGGCAACCTGTGTGTCTTTTTAAAGCATATGTAGAATAAAAACAAATCTTTTTTCCATAGATGAATAACTCTTCAAATAAAAACTGGTGACCATAAACAACACTATCATAAATTCAAGAAAACATGTGGCCACCTCAATCTGTCTTTTCCGGCACCTCCTGCCAATACTGCCCTATTTGAGGCATCTGACAGCAAACCACTCACACTCCTTAGGCCCTGCACCCACCTTCTACAATAAAAGCAGATCAGATATGACATGGGTGAGATGAGATGGAAAGCATCCGGGACCAAGGAGAAGGAAAGCTGGAACTAGTCAAGCATGGAATGAAAGCATCCGGAGAGGGAGATGTCAGTCTGCCTGGCTCTCTGCGACATCAGCAGGTGCTAGAGGCCAGCACAGCGCTTGTGCAGATGGAGAACAAGTGCCCAATCGCGGATGTGCCAGGGACCATACAGGAGGCGGTGCAGAGGCTACCAGTGCAGAGTGACTGAGCAGATTCTAGCATGGACAGTAAAGCGGCTTTACTCTTGACATTGTACATAGGACCAGATGGGATCCAAAGCCAGGGGACATGGAAAAGACAGTACACAGCCAAAACCGTAGCCAACCAGGTCAGCAAGTGAAGAAATGGTCATGTGAGCAACAGGCACGTATACAAACTAGACAGACCTTCCATGGCATCATGCCGACTTTGACATGGACAGGAGAACTCTAACTAGAGAATAAAGATGTTCTGTAAAGTAAAATGAAAAATAGCATTTATTGAATGCCTACTATGTTTCAGGTACTTTATGTTCATTATTAACCTTTTCTCAACTGAACCTCACAGTAACATAAGGATGTATGTGTAATTATGTTTCCTATTTTATAAATCAGGAAGCTGAGGCTTAGAGAGATGAGACAACTCATTCATGGTCACATATATAATAACAGGCAGAGGCAGGACTTGAAGCCAGGTTCTTCTGATCCCAAAGCCCACAGCTTAAGCCTTTTGTCTACATGTGAGTCCCCCTCAGTAGGCCCAGTGGACTGGAGATGACTTACTTGGGGATTAGTCCTGTGGGAACCTGTTACAGAAGAGGGTGATAACAATTCATTGGATACACACTCACAAGATTCACAACAAAAGTAGTACATTCTGGGCCAGTCCCAATATTGAAAAATGAGAAACTCAGTCCAAGGGAAGAGCTACTCTTTGGCACTGGATTCACCCTGGCTACAAGATGAAGGTACATTTATTTGTTCACATTTGTATGAACAGACATCCTGAAATGTCCAAGCATAAACTGACACATTATTACAGAGAATACTGAGCTATGGATTCCTGCTTCCCAGCTCTCCTTGGCTTGAGTCCCCAGTATGTTTTTAAAATCTATTTCTGTGTACCAGGGGATCGATAACACAAAGCATCAAATTGTTCTGAGTAAATGTGTCTTTAAGTTCTTCAAGTGATAACTGATATTAAAGAGGTTTTTAAAAAATAAAGATGTCAGGTCATGTCCTCAAGCCTTGACTTCACAAGGGACCTGAATAGGAAAGGATCATTCACTACTCACCACCCCAATACACATATGTTCAAGTACTCTGTACAGTAACAATGGTGATATATTCATTTTTGAGCCTTGAACCTGGAGGACTCTGTGTCAACTACCTAATCTAATCTTAGCGAGTCTATTTTATGGTCCAGCATTAAATAATAGCACTGGAGTGCATTTGTTTGTGCCTAACAGACTATGGGTAATAAATGTTAAATAAATAAGACATCCCAGTGTTCCACAGCCCACTTCTCTATAGTATTAAAACTGTTACTTCATCCCTTAAAGTTTCCAAATAAGAAAAACAGTCCATGCTTTATTATAAGTAATAACAATTTCTCTTCCCATTTAGAAATGCATGCCATTGCCCAGAATGAAGTTTTATTTAAAGAATTGGATCACCTTATACTCTAAAGCATAACTGTGTTCTGGCTGCCTGTGTTTTTCAGAGAAATCATAATCCACTTTGAAAATTTACACACATTTGTCATTTTTGAAATAGTTCCTTGCTTTGGCTTTTGAGTAAGTAAAGGATTTTTCTAAAGACAGTGTCAAATAGCCCTGTGATTACTCCCATTTTGCTGTGCTAATCATTATCTTCCATTATCAGGCTACAGACACCATCACTTTTGAAAACAGCCACTTTATGGAAACTAAAACATGAGTCAGAAGGCAAGCAAGTTCTCAGTGGTGTTTGCATGTGTCATTTTATTCTAGCCAGTACCTGTGGCATTTCTGCAGGGTGGGCTTGCTTTTATTGGCTGCCATGACCATTGTGGGAAGATACTAGAACTCAAAGATCTAACTGAAATGCACCACACAGTTTCGTTAAAACAGCTGGATGCCCAAAATCAAGCCACACAGAAGACTGTTTTGTAAAACTCCAAATGAAATGAAAGATTATGTCTCTCTTACTAGAAGCCTCTCTCATGCCAGAACCAGCTGTTAAAGATATCGGTGTATTTGGGGCCTCCTTGGAGTTCTACAGAAGAAACTCTTCAAACAAACAAACTTTTGGAGGGGTGGAAGAAGGCAGGATTGGGAACAGTAGTGTGCTTTTTAATGACTGAGGCTGAATATGCTTTCCTCTGGTTTTCTTTTATGTTTCTTCATAAAGCATTTTTCATGCTTTCCTGCTATTTTGCAGCAGCTTTTTTCCTCTAATATACTTAGGTTGCCAAACTAAAAAAGAATCTCTGCCCCCATGTACTCTGTTTAGTTGAAAGACAAGTTTCAACTATTCCACGCAGGAGAATGAGCCAGCAACCTGCCACAGAAGTCAAGTAACAAAAGGCCCCCTTCAGAGGCTGTCAATTTCCAGGGCCTGATGCTCTGTGACCAGATAAGTCGGTTCCCAGTGCACCTGGGTCTCCCTGGGTTGCTAGCAAGGGTTGTCAGCATAACACATCGGGGATCCAGCCATTGTATTTACATTTTAATAAGTATTTTGTTTTTATTGCTTTTTTTTGTTTGTTCCCAGGGCTTCTAAGAAAGGGAGAGACAGTAATAACCAAGTCATATTGGGTGGAATTAGTTACATTTGGGTGAACTGAAATTTGGAGTAGGAAATGAAAGCTGGAATTTTTTTAAAGGACAAATATTTAGAAGGCTACAAATGTGATTTGCCTTAGACAGAGCACTTCCCTGCTGTCCTATTTACTGACTAAAAAGGGTACAGTCGGGCAACAAACCAGCACAAGAGTGTCTGTTGGATTCAAGCCCCTGACACTCTTTTTGGGGGACAGATTTATGTAAATCCAAGGAATATCAGAACACAGACATAGGAAGAGACTCTTCAAAAAGGCAACTCAACTTTGAGATTCTTTCATCTCATTTCAATCTCACTTGTATTCATTATGCAAAGTGTAGCAGTCTTCTCAGTTTCAAAACTGCTTCCTCACTTTTGGGGAAATGCTGAGGGCCTTCTTCTGCAAGCACAAATAACTCCTCAAAACACCACAGGTCCAAGGACCTCAGATGAGTAGGCAGATTCATTGATGGATAGCATAAGCCCTCTGTTAGCCCTGTCCAGCTTGTTTATACGTATCTTCCCTGATCACACATTTTTGGGGAAAGTATTGAGGATTCTAAACTGTAGAGGGTACCTATGACACTGGTGGTTCCTGTCAGTGCCTTTTGTGGAGCATATAAAATGGGCAATTATCTTTTTTATTTTAGGGTCCCCAAATTCAGTGCAGCAATGTGTGCATATATGGGGGAAAATATCTTTGGAGTGGGAAGATTAGCCTTGAACGACTACAAACTGAGATTTAATGCTCAAAACAAACAAACAAAACATAACTCTATGTACTCACGCTCACACAATGAACTCATACTCACCCCATTAACTGATAACATCCTCAATGAAGAGATAAGGTTCATTTATAACTACCACTATTATATGCAGTTAACATGTTAAAGCCTATCAGAAACCTGCTTACCACAGTTTAGGATCTAAGCTATGATAAAATTTTTCTTTTGTCATCTTTTTCACAGTCTTGAATGTTAACTTAGGAGAAGCTGTCTTTGCTGGCTATTCAAAACAGATTTTAAATCAGTCCATATGAAGTGATCATAAATACTCACTTGCTATAAAAAAAAATTCACAAGGTTTCCCAATCAAGTCACATTTGTAGAGGCCCTTTCTCCAGCCCTATGAGAAATTGTTCTAGTTATATTTTTCTTTCTTTTTAAAAAAATACATTTTCTTCTCCTCTTAAATTATAAATCATAGTTATCATGGGAAATTTGGAAAATACAGAAAAAATAGTCAAACCCCTAATATTAAGAGACAATCTTTGTTAACATTTTGGTATTTTCCTTTTGTACTTTTTTTGCTATACTTTAAAATTTCTTAAAGTTGATCTATCATACGCGTACATTTTTTATTTGACACTATAACTTAGATATTTATCTGTGTTATTTCAGTCTTCTTAAATTTGTATTTGTGTTGTCTATAAAATATTCCATTGTAAGGATGAAGCAAATTTTAACTGTTCTTCAGATGTTACACTTTTCATTTATTTTCAATATTATAAATAACATTGTAATGACTAGTTTTGAACATAATGCTTTTTCAGATACTTGAATTTTTTGAGGATAGACTGTGAAAAGTAAAATTAGTCAAAGGGTAATTTTATGGTTCTTGATGTATACAGTATTGCCAAATTCCTTTTGAAAAATTGGTACCAAATTATTTTCCCACAGTGTATGAAAATGCATTTTCATTGTGCTCTACCCAATTTTCTGTTTTTTTTTAATCACTAATTTAAAAGGATAAAAATGTTATTTCATTGTTTTGAATTGTATGTGACTGCTACCAGGATTTAAGATTTGAAACTTTTTTTTTTTTTTTTTTACAAATTATGTGTTTTGGACTTTGGCTTATTTATTTATTGCAGTCCTGAAGCTTCTTTCTTATTGATGTTTGAATATTTTATGTATTATGGATATTATTGATTATAATTTCATTGGAATTCCTTCATATACTCTAAATTAAATTCTGTGATTTTCCTATCTGTAGTTCTTAGCCTTTAGTCTTCCTGCTAACATTTCAAAAGATAGCTTTGGATTTCAACATAATAGAAATGAATTAGGAGAATTAAAGGAAAAAGTGTAAGGATAGTTAAATCCAAAATGTAATTCCATCTCTAAGGCTATAAATTCAATATTACTGTTTCTCAATACATACCAAAATTTCTTCCTAAGTCTGATTAGTAAAGATAGGTACATAAGTCCCGGATGATAGTGATAATGACAGTCAACAAAAGAATTTATAATAGTTTTTAGCACAGTGATAAGGTTCAAGATAGATGCTCCATAAATATATGCCCAGCAATGAGAATTATTCCCCCACCCCTTGGTTTGGCATAATGAGGAACAGCACAAGGTGAAAGGCCCCTTCCAAGCAAAGCATGTCAGTATGCACCCACGCTTATCTCCAGTCCTCACAGAACCCTTCAGTCATCAAATTCATTTGGCAAAGGGTATAGATGACTGAAGATTGAGTCAGGCAGCACCAGACCACTAGGGAAATAAACATAGGTAACCCAGCAGTGAAAATCTAGTGCATCAAAGCAGGTGACAGCTGAATAAGGGGCCAAGAATTTCAGGCTTTAGATGAAATATAGAGGAGCTTAGAGTGTGTAGAGTCTCAGGAAATAAAGTAAAAATAATTGAAGACCAATTTTATTCACCTAAAACAAAGGCTTCAGGTTAATAACAACTAAAGTATACACAGTGCTTTGAGGTGGTTAAAAAGGTTTTCACATTAATTTCCACAGTTGGTCTTCCCCAAAATTCAGTGTGTATGATTACATGCATTTCATTGATGTGGCAGCTAAAAAAGAGAATTTCAGGGAGGTGTCCATAATCTTAGAACTTTTAACTTGCAGTGGAGGAATCTAAGTCAGACCAGTCAACTCTGTGACTTCACCAATGATTCCTAAGCTTGCGAGAGCCCTTCTTCTCTGCCTAAATACTGGTTCTCAGCTTCTCCAGAAATTCTGCCACATCTAAAACCTTGATTCACACAGTGTTAACAAAAGACTACCTTTTTCTCCATGATGTAAGTGGAAATTTGGGAACAAATAGCTTCTTTGGTTGACATGTTTCTTCATTCTGTCCCTTAGTATGACCTTGACTGTCCTCTCTCGACTTAGGGAAACCTCCATGGAGGATTGCACTGGGATAGTGACAACTGAGGAAGAGTGTCCATATTTTGAAGGATTTCCCTGAAGACCAAGGAAGTATAACCTTCTGAGGATGCCTCTTCTGCAACCTTTACAGAAAGCTCAACCTGCCTTCTGGCCATAACCATATAAAATTCAAAAGCAGAACCAGCATCTCCTTTCAAGAGAAAAGACATGAGGGTAAAGAGGCAATGCCCCTCTGTTAGAATCTATAGAAATTCCTAGGGCTCTATAAAAGGCTGGTAAATTCTATGCTTCAGGGGTCTGAAGGATTTCTGGTTCTTCCAGAAAAATACCATAAGGAAAACTATGGCTGGGAAAGTACTTATAATTATGGAGCCTGGATGGTCTTGGCCACACATGGATCTGAAAAATTCAAACATTTATAAAACAATCAATCACTGTCTAAGGATCAGAATCTTAGACAGGCATTCCAGAATATAACTCTACAGAAGATAGACTGATGAGAAAGACTGCTCACAGTTCCAGTAGCTTTGCTAAGATGTTCTATGTTTTTTTCATAAAAAAAGTATCATAGAATAGTCATTAAGAATTTGGGCTTAGAATTTGACTTTTTAAAAATCTAGGATGTATCACAACATACTAGCAAAAAGTTACATGACTTTGGCAAGAGACTCAGCTTCTCTAAATATGCCTCAGCTTCCTTACCTGGAAAACACGGATGGTGCAGTAGTACCAGCCTTATGGGAATGAGGATTAACTGAGAAAACCCTTGTAAAAGTGTCTAGTAGATAGCAAACACCCAATAAATATAAGCTTTTGTTATGCTAGTATTATGTACTTGCTTTAAAGCCAATCCTTGTTCCATAGAATATTCTTATTTATTATAAGTCTTTTAATAGTTTTTTGGTTTGTCTAGTAAACAGCAAAGACCAACAGTAAACTAAAATGATTTGGAGACCAGTACAATGACTGCATGAGAAGTAACAGCAAGCAGATAACTAAATCAATGTAAGAGAAAGTTTTATCACAACAGAATGCGAGAATAAACCTCTAGTAATCAAGGAAAGCTTCAATGATATTTCATATCTCCCCATTCAAAAAAGCAAACATTTTCTCCTTGCAATTCTTTAGCTTCATTATAATGTAAATATAAGAAGAGGCTTTTAAAATTTAATCTTACTTGGAATTCTTTGTCCTTTTATGACTGTGAATATTCATGTCTTGTCTTAATTCTAGATAATGTTCAGCAATTTTCTCTATTTTTCTCCCACTGGAACTATTTACTGATGTGTAATAGAACTTATGTTTCAAAATCTTTTACATTTTCAATTCTCTTTTCTCTCTTTTATACACTTAGTAATTTTCTAATTTCCATGATCCAGTTTATAAAATCTCTCTTTGACAGCATTCTCTCTTTGATTACTTATTCTTTCTATTGAGATTTTTTGAAAAAAAAAATGATTATACATTTTATTTATAATAATTTAAATTGGTTCTCTTTTGTATCTGCATGTTCTAATTTATTGACTACTTAGTTGTTATTTTATAAACTCCTGTTCTTACTTTTTAACTGGGGCAATTTACTTTTCATTTTTTAAAGATTTCAAATATACATATTTTCAAGTCTTTTCCATCTTAATCATGCCACCCTATGATGATAAACTCAAGTTGCCAGACAGCGTAGGGAAATGTAAGACTAAGGGGATAGTATGAGAAAAAAGATGATGAAGATTATGTGAAAAGGCTACCATATAATTTCTTTTTTCCTCAAGTTGGATTTCAAAATATTTAGAGAAAAATATTGAAGTTTAAGCAATAATCTAGATTAAGACATATGATAAATGGCTCACTTTACAAATTCAAAATGCTATTACCAGAGGGGAATAAAGATGGCGGACGAGATACTAGACAGGGTATCTCTGCAGAAAAGACAGATTCTAGCAGAAATTAGAAGAAAGAAACAAGAAGACAAGCATACAGGGGACAAGGGTCAGAAGGAGGGGTACCTGAGACCACGGGAGACTCCACGGGAGGGGGTTGTGGAGGAGAACTAGAAGCTGTGACTGTCGGAGCAGACCAGAGACCAGTGGGAAGTGTAAGTGAATCTGCGGTATCCCCTCCCCTGCATCTCGGACTGCTGGTGGGCTCCCCAGGGTGGAGAGACCTGTGGACACCAGCCCAGAGACAGGCGCTGCCAGAGCGGTAAGCCAGTAGCGGACACGGCACCAGGCTCCCAAATCCCTCGGGGCACCTCCGTGTGCACAGACCCAAGCCATGCGGCAGACGCCATATTGCCTCCTTCTCCCCTCCGCCAACCCTACCCATGGCTGCACAGAGAGACAATACAGCCACCAGCCAGAGGCACCTACAGGGAACGGGACCTTCCCTTTTGGGACCCTACAGCTGACTCAGGGGAACTCAGACTATGAGCTTCCTACCCGCCAGCCCTCCCAGGTGCTGCTGGCACGGTGTTCACAGGAGAATGGTGCCGACTCAGAGGCTGAGAGACATAGACCCAGCTTGGGCTGCCTATGGGTGAATTAGGACCGGAAATCCTCTCCCTGGTGGGGATACAGTTTGAACTCTGGGACCCAGAGGTCGGACCTGCAGACCAGATCCCCTGCACCTCGAGGCTAGCATTGCCGGGCACAGAAGGTTATCGGTGAACAGCCTACTGAGGGCTGTGGCCTCAGGGGTGGATCAGCATCCTAGAGGGCAACTCCTCCAGGAGGAGGCTGTGCGCCCAGCCGGGCGTTCGTGTGCAGGACTCCCGCCGGCATCACAGTCCGGGGAGGCCTGGTGGCTTGTGGTCTGGCCTGCTGACAGAGACCCAGGAGTAGCTGCATAGTTGAGGAGGGTGGAAAGAAGCGAGGCCTGCTGCAGACTGCGGGTCTCAGACAGACCCACCGACACCCGGACTTTCTGGCTGAACGGGACCATTCCGGCCCCGCCCTGACAGCTTTTTCTGGAAGCACAGAACAGTACTTTGACCTCTGCTAACGGCCTGAGGGCAGGCTTACCCAACCCAGCTCCGCCCAGAACAAGAGCTGACAACAGGACACAAAATCAACAGCATAGCTTGTTCCGCAAGCAAACACCACCTACTGACAGGGATGCATCCTGCACAGCCTTTCCACGGCACCCACTGACTCAATATACAGGGAGTGGTTCAATCTCACCCACAGACACCACCTAACGGCTCAGAAACTAAACAAGGTGTCTGAATACCCAAACAATAACGTAAAGGAAAGAAACAACAACTGATTGACATGGAAAATCAGCAAAGAACTCAGGAAATATCAAGAACCACAAAAAACACACCCCCAAAGAGGAGCACCAGCCCCTAGAAACGGACAACCATCCAAAATCAGGCAACCAATATGACAGAAGTGGAATTCGTATGTGGATCATAAGAAAACTCACCCAGCTGCAACAACAACTCAATAACCACACAAAGAAACCACAAAAAGGCTCCAGGATATGAGAAAAGAAATAGACACAATGAAGAAAAGTGTAACCGAACTCCTGGAAATGAAGAATCAATTCAAGGAACTACAAAATACAGTGAAAAGTCTCAAGAACAGGTAGATCAAACAGAAAAAGAATCTCAGAGCTTGAAGATAACACCCTCCAATAAAAAATCAGTCACAGAAATAGAGCAGAGAAACAAGAGAAAAGAGCAAAGCCTACAAGACTGTGGGATTATGTGAAGAAACCTAATGTGAGGTCATAGGCTTACAGAAGGGGAGAAGACAACACTCAAGGGTTGAACAGCTGTTGAAGATATAATAGAGGAAAATTTCCAGCCTTGCTCAAAATCTTGATACAAGTTCAAGAGCTAGAGGACCCCTGGAGATTCAATGCAAACAGGAAGACGTCACGACATGCAGTCATCAGACTGACAAAGTATCAACAAAGAGGCCCTTCTAAGAGCTGTAAGACAAAAGAAGCAAGTAACATACAAGGAAAGCCAATTCAAAACATCAGACTTCTCTAATGAGACTTTACAAGCAAGGAGAGACTGGGGCCCATTCTCACTCTTTTGGAAACAAAACAATGCCCAGCCTAGAATTTATTCCTGCAAACCTAAGCTTCATATTTGAAGGAGAAATAAAAACATTCTCAGACAGCAAAGCTCAGAGAACTCACCAAGACAAGACCAGCCCTACAAGAAGACATTAAACAGCGTTAGCACGAAACATCATAATAATAACCACAAATATAAAACAACAAAACAAAGATATTAAAGGCCAGATATTACAATGGCTCCAAGACAGAAAATCATAGCAACAACATCCGAACCCAACAGAATGAAGAGAATCTACCCTTACCTATCAGTTCTCTCAATAAATGTGAAGGCTAAATCTCCACTCAGAGACATAGCTGGATGAATGGATAAGAAAATACAGGCCAAGTATATGCATTGTTTCGAGAACACATCTAACCTGCAAGATGCACAATAGACTAAAATAAAAGGTGGAGATCAGTTAATTCCAGGCAAGGAAGCCAAAAAAGGCTGGATGGCAGTTCTAATTTCAAGATTTTAGTTTTAAACCAACCAAAAGTAGTGAAAGCCAAGAGGTCGTTATAAATGGTGAAGGCACACTTCAACAAGAAGAGATAACAATTAAATATATAAGAACCCAACTAGTGCACCCAGATTCATAAAGCAAACCTTAACGTGGAGCTAAGCAAAGGATTAAAGCAACTCCATAATCACTGGAATTTCAAACCCCACTGACGGCACGAGACAGCAGTCCAAACAGAAAATTAATAAAGAAATATGACTAAACAAAACCCTGGAACAATTGGGTCTGACTGATCATTTACAGACATTCTAACAAAATCCACTGAAATATACGTTCTTCTCATCAGCTCACGGGACCATCTATAAGATTTGACCATATCCTAGGACACAAAGAAAACTAAAAGAAATTAAAAAAAATAGAAATCATACCATGTACCTTCTCCAGATCACAGTGGATATAAAAAGTAGAACTCAACCCTAACAGAAACTCACATTTCTTACACAAAAACGTGAAATTAAACAACCTCTTACGAAAAATGATTTCTTAATAAATGAAGAAACAAGACGGAAATAAAAAAGTCTATGAAGAAAACTCAATGAGACGACAAGTTATCAACTCCTCTGGGACACAGCAAAGCAGTCTGGAGGAAAGTTTATCGTCCATAAATGCCTATAACCAAAAGACAAGAAGATCACAAATAGACAATCTAATGAATTGACTCAAAGATCTGGAAAAAGAAGAACAGACCAGACCCCGAAACCAGCAAAGAAGTGAAATCACAAGATCAAATCAAACTAAACGGAAATTGAAAACAGTGAAGCTATTCGGAGATTAAAACAAAAAGTTGGTTCCTGAAAAAATAAACAAATTGACAATGCATTGGCTAAACAACCGAAAAGTCAGAAGAGAGAAATCGTCTAATAAACTCATCAGGAAAAAAAGAGAATCACAACTGATCAAGAGATACAAGATACAATTGATGAATACTACAAAAATCCGTATGCAACACAAACTGGAAAATGTGGAGGAAATGGACAAAATTTCTAGAAACAACACAGCCTCCCTAGGCTCAACCAGGAAGAAATAGATTCCCTGAACAGACAATCTCCAACAGCCTGAAATAGAAACAGCAATTAAAAATCTCCTAAAAAAGAAAAGTCCTGGTCCGAGATGCTTCACACCTGAATTTTACCCATACTTACAAAAAAGAACTAGTACCTATCCTGCAGAAAACTATTCCATCAACATGGAGAAGGAACAGAAAACTCCCAGACACCCTTTTATGAGCGAATATTACTCTGATACCAAAACCAGGAAAGGATGCAACAAAAAAAAGAAAACTACAGACCAATATCCTTCAATCAATTAGATGGCAAAAATTTTCAACAAAAGCTTAGCAACCGAATTCAGACCACTTAATCAAAAAAATAATCCACCACGACCACAAGTGGGCTCATCCAAGGATGCAGGGATGGTTCAACATATGTAAATCTATAAATGCAATTCACCAGCATAAACAGAAGCAAAACAAAAGACCACATGATTCTTTCGATAGATGCAGAAAAAGCTTTTGACAAAAATTGAACACCTTTCATGATATGAAATACTTAAGAAAATAGGCATAGAAGGGACATACCTAAAAATGATACAAGCCATATATGACAGACCTATCGTCAACATCAGACCTGAATGGGAAAAACTGAAAGCATTCCCACTTAGAACGAACCAGACAAGCTGGCCCACATCTCTCCACTTCTGTTCCAACAATAGTACTCGGAGTCTGGCTACAGCAATCAGACAGGAAAGGAAATATAGGTATCCAAATAGGGCAGAAGAGATCAAACATTCACTTCCGCTGAGATAGATATTATATTTTAAGAAAACCCCAAAGATTCAACCAAGAACTCCGAACTGATCAAAGTGAATAAGTAAAGTCTCAGGATACAAAATCAATCACAGAAATCAGAGCATATCATATACGCCCAACAAATCCTAAAATTGAGAACCAAATCAAAAGACTCAATTCCCTTCACACAGCAACAAAGAATTAAAGTACCTAGGAATATACTAACCAAGGAGGTCAAAAGACCTCTAACCAGCGAGAACATATGAAACGAGTGAGAAGGAAATAGCAGAGGATGTAAACAATGGAAATCCCTACCATGCTTGTGGATTGGCCAGACTCAACATCATGAAAATGTCTATACTACCCAAACTGATCCTACAGATTCAATGCAATACCTATTAAAAATCCCATCAGCATTCTCACAGATATAGAAAAAATATTTACGCTCGTATGGGAACAAAACAATTACCCCGAATATCAAAGCAATTCTACGGCACAAAAAACAAAATGGAGGATAATATGCCAGATATCAAACATACTAAAAGCGTAGTACATTCAAATCAATTTGGTATTGCAC